TGCTGGGGTCCATTTCCACTCCCTCATTAGAGATACCCCAGATAATCCAAGCGAACTCACACTTGGACAGCTTTGTGTAGAGTTGGGTTCTTTGCAGTTTCTTAAGTACTGTTCTGACTAGTTTCATGTGCTCTTCAGGGGTCTCAGTGTATATTAATATCTCGCCCAAGTACATCAACACCCCTTTATAAATGCTCGTGCAGGACTTCGTTTATTAGTTACATGAATACAGCAGGAGCTCCCTGCAGCCCGAAGGGCATTACTCAGAACTGGTAGTACCCTGGAGGCAATTGAATGCGGTTTTCCACTCATACCCTTCTTTAATCCTCACTCGATAGTACGCCTCCCTCAAGTCCAGTTTAGTGAAGATTTTCCCCTTTGGCAAATACCCCAGAATCTCTCTCATCAGGGGAGACGGTACATGCTCTCCACAGATATGTAGTTTAGCCCTCTGTAATCCACACACAGCCTGAGGGACCCGTACTCCTTTTCCTTGAACAGCACAGGGGCCACCATCCTTGATTTCGCCATCTGGATGAATCCCCTCACCAAGTGCTTATCAATGAATGCTCAGAGCGCGTCCATCTCTCAGGGGTTATGGAGTACATTTTCGGCATGGGTAATTTGGCTCCCGGCACGATCTTTATCACGCAGTGAGTCAGTGATACAGTGGGAGCACATCTGATTCCTTCTCGCTGAAAACCTTGGCTAGGTTGTGATACTCTGCTGGAATCAGCAGCTCTAACCTATCACCTCCTTTTATTGTATTCATAGTCTCTGCTTTCACTTTCCTAACTGCAGGGGCATGGCCAGCTCTCTGTACTCTCCCTAGCTCTTGCTGATTAGCAGCTTTTCTCTGCATCCACCACCTCTTTGTCCCAGTTCACACAGGGGTTCCTCTTTTTCTGCCACACCCTGGGTTCAGTCATCCCAGCGACCACAATGAATCTAATAGTCTCTACGTGGGTCCCGACTTTGAGCTTTACTGGTTTGGTCAGGCAGGTACCTGGCACAACCCGTTATTGACCCATCCAGTTATGAAAATGCCATGGGTTGTCTTCAGTCCCTCTAACACTTGGGTGCTGACCATGTTATGTGCACCCCTCAGGGTATGCAGTTTTGATATAGCTCTCGGTTCAGTCCTTCTCGGAAGTAGGAAACTAACGTATTCTCAGGTCAGTCCCTCAAATGTCTAGCTAGGCTGTGGAAGTCTTGGATGTACTATATCACTGGCCACTTTCCCTGCTTAAGGGTGCAAATATGGGATTCCGCAGGTCGGGCCGCCACGGGGTCCTCGAACTGCCCACATTGGATCTACATGAATGCCTCCAGATTGCTCAGCTCTGGCACCCTACTATAGTTCAGGGACATTTAGCCATCCAGCAGCACCACCTTCCAGGTTGGATGCCACTGCGTGAACCATCAGAGGGGCTGGTGGCTGTTCATCTCTTACCGTGATGTACCCAGGCAGTAGGGTCGCTACTGCCACTGGTGGAGAAGGAGGAGGGACCCCAGTTGCTGTCACATTGGGGGTAAGGTGGCAGAGCCTGCTGCCACTGCTCCTTGCACTAGACACCCAATTGTCCCTTGCACTAGACACCCAATTGCCAGCACTACCAGCTGCAGGAGGAGAGGAGACGGGGTGGTTAGTGATTTCACTTGCCCCATCCCAGCCACCGTCACCACAGCACCCAGTGATACTGCTACTTTGATCTCTAGCCCGCCGAATTTTTTCCCCGTTGCTCCACCAATGGGCTGCAGATTGCCGCTGGAAGTTTTCACTCAAGCGGCTCGTCCCACTTGAGCAGCCATTTCACTTTCGACCTGCTCCCTCAGATAATGTTGACTCCTGAGGGGATTAGGAGGTCCTCATCTTCTGCCGCCTTCCCCACATTCGCTGCCCAGTGACTTTTTAGCCCCTGGTAAGGGGCATCTCTCAGCTGCTCCCTTAAGCTTGTTGGATGTGGCTCTGGCTTCTTGGCTTTCTATTTGGGACATGTGCTTGCTGGCTGTGCCCCTACCCCTGCAACACCACTGGGGCTTTTCGAGCCAAAGTTTCTCCTGACCTCTTCTCCTCTGGCTCCTGGTCTGTCTCTGACATCTCAGGGTTTCTGATCTCCTGGTGGCGTACAGGTAGGCACTATTGTAAGAGCTGACTTAATGTCAACCATCCCATTTGGCACATCCCAAAAAAGAAACTCCTGGCTTGTAGGAATTACCAAGAATAAAAATTTATTGAAAGATCCATTTAGGCACAGCAGAAGTAGTCAGCTGAGGTTTCCCTGCAGAAACCCACATAGGTAAAACTCCCTTTTCACCCCTGGGCCACCCTCAGTTCATTATCCACCAATTTCACTAGGTACTTGTTTTGGGAAAACATTCTGCACTTGCTGGTAGCTCACAGAATTTGGCCTTGGTGGTTATCTCTTCTCTGGCAGCAGAACGCTCTCATACGTTCCTTAGTCTTCCCCCACCCTAGGAATTTACTAACCCCCTCCCATTTCCCACAGTTTGCAAAACTGTGAGCTGAGGATTGATGCAGGCAATGAAGAAAGCGAGTCAGCTTTGACAACATTCTTTTTTCCTTTCCCTTTGGGAAAGAAAAAAAAGTGAAGCTGGAAATGGCTGAAGCATTTAATTTAAATTTAATTTGTCTCCAGTAATAATACATGGAAAGATCAAATCTTTTATGAGTTCACAGTGGGTTGATACCAACAGCAGAACGTGAAATCTATGAGAGAATGCAAGACTATAAAGGGAGGCAGGGATAGCTGAAGTCTATTTAGAAGAATAACGAAGAGTAAAACTTCAGACTGAAATAAGAATAAACAGAGTAGATAAAGAGCAGGTAAAGATAAAATAAAGACCAAGGGAAAAAACAAGAAAAAAGGGAGTGAAGTACTTCTCACCTTTGGCTATGGACCACAGGATTCAGTATGTTCATTACTCCTTTTGAAGGGTTACTCACTTTGTATATGCATTTTCGGTATGTTTGGCTACTCCAAGAAGCCATTTGGTGATTGTTTGGCCTATTCTGTGAAATTTTAAAATGAGTTTTAATCTTTGAGCAGCCTGTTTTGAAGAAATGCTCACTTTATATTATCATTAAATAGTTGCTCAAGGTTATGCTCTGCATCCAGGAAAACAAACAGATCATGCAGCTGGGATAAACAAAATATCAATGTATTAAATGCCCAAAGGGCATTTTATTTTTGTTCATTAGGGCACAAGATTATTTAGCATCAGGAAGGGCATCCGACCAGTAAACGCTTAGCTCCACCAAGTTGCTGCAACTCTATCCAAAATAGGGACTACAGGGTTGTAAAAAGGGAGGGTTTTTTATAGAAAATATTCACTGAACATACTAATGTGAAAGTAAAATAATTTGAAGACAGCAACCTAAAACTGCTTATGCTGCTGAGTTAAATGTCAGCTTTGACAAAATGGCACTTAAAAAACCCTATAGTTAAACTGAACAAGTTAACGATTGAGTAGATAAAAGAGCAGAGCCTGTAAATTTGAATTATATGTTAAATTCTTAGCACTGTTCAGAAACACACACACACACACACACACACACCAGTTAGGCACATTGTAAAATAACTTCGTGATTAAGCATGATACAAAAAGCAATTAAAATAGAACAAAGAAACCTGGCTCTCTGGATGTTTTTGATTATAGCTTCCAGTAGCCACAATGGCTGGTAAGCAACATGATGGACCAAAGTTCAGCATCTGGAAGGCCACAGGTTTTCTTTTGCCATATTAATGGAAGGGGGGAATGACTTACCAGTGTTTTACAAAATAACCAGGTAGAGTGACAACTAAGAAATCTTAACAAATGCATAGTAGATACATTGCAGTTGTAGTGTTACATACGTTTGTGCAAAACGGAGTGGTCTGTTCCAGAATATTCAGATTTTTTATTCACTTCTGGAAGTATACTGTTTAGAACAGGAACAATTGATGCTTCAGATACAGTGAATGCTGCTTTCTGCCTTTGTCTTACAATTTCATGAATTGTACTTGTCAAATGTTATAGACACTATTGATATTTATTACCTTCAGCTTTAAAAATTAGGGTTGTAGACAAAATTAAAGGACATATTCATAAAGCAACACAGTGTTTAGTACTGTGTTAGGGATAAATCTTATTTTTGCCAAAATTAAAAGAAAGTGCACCAAAAAGCTACTGTTCTTCTTAACAACAGATGAAGGCAGAATATACTAATTCGTCCAGAAAAAGTTCAAAAAGCTTTTGTAAATTTATTGAAAGCTTATTCAAAGGACTTTCTGAGTAAGCTAGTATTTGCATCTCTATTTTATCTAATGCAGCTGTAGTAAAAAGAAACATTGTTTTTAATAAAGAATTCACTTCAGTGTATTGGAACAATAGACTAAATATAGATGTGATTTGGGTATTATTTGAAAGGGGTAAATTTAAAAGTAAAAGTAGTCTTTCTTAGGCTTTCTCCCTCCTCCAACATGGGACTAAAAGAAATTGTTTATTGAAAGCTTAATCAGGTTTTATATCAAAATGATAAAAAAAGAAGTAGGCTAAAGCTGTTTAAGTATCTACAGTTTACTCTGTGTTGTACCTGGTTTTTCCTTCATTTGTCAATGGATCTCTAGTACATATTGGCATCTTAATATATCTAAACTCCTGGTAAAGCAATCAGTGCTTTGAAAAATAATTTAGAAACATTCTTATGTTGTAATATTTTGAAGTCAAGTACAGACAAGATGCTGGTCTTTTTAACACAATTATCCAATTTCAAAATGCATACTGCTTTTTTTTTACATCTGTTAGATAATGTCTATAAGTAATAGAGCTCAACATATGGAAAAATGTGTGACATTTACTTTCTTCTGTTAAATTTGCTTTACTGGTGACAAAAGTACTTGTATCTTGTGATACTATTGTGATACTATTATATCTATTATTTACAACTCCTCTAACATCTTGCATTATTATTGTTACTGTTATTATTTTATTCACAGGATGGAGGACTTCTTATAAATAATCCTACAGCATTAGCAGTACATGAATGTAGATGTCTTTGGCCAAATGTCCCTCTTCAATGTGTGGTGTCCCTAGGAACAGGCCAGTATGAAAACAATGGGAAAACCAATGTCACCTATACAAGTTTAAAAGCTAAATTGACTAATGTCATTAGCAGTGCTACAGATACTGAAGGTTAGTATCAGGTGATCATAGCTGTCTTGTTTTTGTAGTACAATTTTTAACTGTGCTTTCTTGGACTAAAAACAACATGAAAAGACATTTTGGTTCTGTTTTGTAACCTGCATTCAATTGTTTTGTTAATCCCATCTCTCAACATCCATACAAGGATTAAGTGTTTAAGTCATATAGAAAGCTAAAGCTCTTTAAAAATAATATTATTTTTTTAAAAAATCATTTAAAGATTTAGCCTTTTTGCTTTTCTCCAATTAATACTTTGTATTACTTACTTAGCAAATTGATATTGAATTGGCAGCTGATGACAATGCTTGCCAGATTTTTAATTAAAATTTTCAGCTATTTGAGATTGCCTGCACCTCAGTTTTGCCATTGTTAAACCTTTGTTGATAAAAGTTGTTAATATTAGGCATAATGTTGGGATAAAATGCTCCATCTACCATAAATAGTGGTAGAACAAGCATTTTTGTAATTAAGGAAAAACTGTTAATAGTGAAATCAATACTTATAATAACCATGCAAAATGTAGAATGATCATTTATCATGTTTCACATGAGTGTTTCAATAATGTAGAAATGAGCAGTCAATCCAAACTTGAATTACTGTATAAATTCTATGTAGTTATTTTTTATCTTCTTTGATTGATTCTAACTAGGGGTTCACATGCCAAATTAATCCTAAAATTCTTGAACCAATTGACATAAGAATTTGCTTTTGCATAGATCAAAACATCTTGCTTCAAAGAAAACCACTTACAAGCCAGTTTCAATATACCACTGGAAGGGTGGGTTATAATGGTCCTTTCAAATCCCATTGTTGCTTTTTACTTAAAAAAAAAAAATCTTGACATTTTGCATAAGACAGGTTTGTAGACTTGGTTTGCTAACTTTGATGTATCAACTTATATAGGGTATCAAGGCTATTATTTCTGAGGTCTTTTTGTTCTAGGTTGTTTTAATTGACCAGATGTTAATATCAAAAGATGTTATACTTAAGGAAAATTAAGCTCTCATATTGAAAGTTGCATCCATAACAGACTTCTAGTTTTGTGTCACGGTGAGACGGGACACAAGGCAGAGCTCTGCCTTCCGTGCCCGATTTTGCTCTGCTGGGGGCCCAGAAAAGGACCTAAAATCTCCCCAAAGAGGCGATAAAAAAGGAGGGGTACCTTGTCGGTCTAAACCAGTAGGAGAAAGACTGGCCACACCTCTGCGGCCGGCCATTAGCTGCTGACAACCAAAGAACAAAGCTTTAATTAGCATCATAAGCAGCATGTTTGGACTGGGTGAGAATATTGATCCTTTCTTTACTATTTTATAACTGAATTTCCTGAGAAAGGCTCCCAAGAAGCTAAAAATGTGAACGGAAGCGGCGTTTAATTTTTTTTATGTGGGACAGAAATACACAATAGTGCAGTGAAAGTAATACAAAGCTACAGGTTCCTGACCTTCTTGGACTATAAATACCTACTGAGCTTGGACTTTTAATCTCAAGAGCTAGTGGGAGAGAAAGAAAAAAATGACTTTTGAATACGTTTGGCTGCAGGGAGGTTGAACGTTTTGAATACTTGGAATATTGTGGATTACAACCTGGCCTGACTGATAATTTTCAGGATACTTGAGACAAAGCTTTACTATAAAATATTGCTATTATGACTGGATTATAAAGGCTATATACAAAGACCAGAAAACTAGAGGAAATTTTGTTCCACTCTTACTGAGACTGATGATACTAGAGGATTTCTAGGAATGATGCCTCAAGAAAAAACAAATATCTTTCAGAAAGAAATACTTTCTATGTTGGAGCAAATTCATCAAACAATTGTTGCACACAAAGAGGATGTAAAAAGAAAACATAATGAGAGTAAAAATAACGTAGATGATATAAATGACCAAATCTTCAAATTGAAGCTACAACTGGAAAGTTCCCAGGTAATGACTACAAAGTATGGACAAATAAACCAGAAACCAGAGGATGAAGCAGAAGAAATTGATCTAAAGATGGAGGAGATAGGAGAAAGGAAATATGGACTGCCATACACAAATAAAATACTGCAAGACCTACCTATAACAATGAAAATATAAAAGACCCTTTACTCCTTTTTCTAAAATACACCTGATGACAAGGAAGAAGATTCTAGAAAACGGAACATAGAGTGGGTAGGGAAAATGTCTAGGTAGGGAATGTGAATTGGTGGAATCCCCCCCCCCCCCGAAAATACTTTACCTAAATTGTCTTTCTTATGTTAAGCAGCTTTCACAAAAATAGAAAGAAAATTCTTGGGCAATTTAATTGCCTTGGCCTGGAAAGCTGCTTAGCAAAGAAAGAAAGCGAGAGTTAGACTTAAAAAAACAGAGGATTTGATCTATCAGCAGGGGCAAAATCTGTTTAATATACCTGTTTGAATATGGTTAAAAGAATGGATGACCCTTAGATATAAGTAGATTTTTATAATGGAAGATATGATTTAGAATTAAAATAACATTTTTCTTCTTTTTTTTGATATGGGAAATTTGAAAATAATAGGAGGATTGGTATGAATAAAAAAAATTGCTATATAAATGTAATTAATATTGAGAAAATCATAACTGACAAAAATACTTTAAATATTGATGGGAAATCAAACTTTAATAAGAGCACGAAAAACAGGATATTGACTTATGAATTGATATAATTGTTATTTCTATAATATTAGTAAAATATGATGAAGATGTTTATATCTAATTTTGTATACATCAACATTACTAAGAATTGTAATTGTTTAATTTATTTATTTATTTTATTTTACAGGATTTATATGCCGCCCTTCTCCCCATGGGACTCAGGGCGGCTCACAGCATATTAAAACATCATACAAAAAATTTCCCCTACTAAAAACCAATTAAAACCCAAATATTGGTAGCTGTGGCTCTTTAAAATCGTTAAAAATTGTCCCTATTTAAAACTCACCCTAGGTCAGGCCCGCTTGTTGAAAAAG